TGCCCTGGAGGCCTGGCCTCACCTGGGCGGTGGAAGGCCGGAGGCGGATCTCTGGGCGCCCCTCGTGCTGCGGGGGACGCGTCCGCTCCTTTCATTCGAGGAACCAGATTGGAATGGCTGCTTTTGATCCCGTTTGTTACCAATCCCGGCATTTGTTTTCCATTTTATAAACGCTTCCCTTTAAGTAATTGTCCCTGTTAACAGCGTATACCTTTCAGCAGCCCTCACTGCGCTATAAATAATCTCGATGAAGATGCAAGGATATGACTTTCACAAGATTGGACAATTGATTCAATCTGTGACCCGCGATCGCGAATAATATTGGAAGGCTATTTAAACAGATGAAGGCCTAAATTGTCTTGCTTGTATCTGAATTAATTTCTCATTCATCATCATTATGAAGTGATTGGTCTATTCAAGCTCTTCAGCCTGCTGGAACCGAGAGGGATTTAAATGAGATTGTAACACAATTTAAATGCTTGCCGACTTTAACGAGGCCAATTGAGCAGCTGCAATAAATACAAATATTTTTCTAAACAGCCTTGTTTTAAATAATTACTTAATGCTTTCATGTTATTTTTAAGTAGCAATCTTTCTCTCTCCTGCTCCTGCTCAGAATATCACACACACTTATTTGCTGAGAAGATGATTTTGGAAACGATTTTGTTTCTGTTTGCTTTGTATACTGTAATCCACCTTTTGTGGTTGAGTTTCTTTCCCCCCCTCCCCACCAACCCCTTAGGGTCAACGTTCCGGAGGTCACAAGCTGGCACAAATGGTGAGCTGGGCCTTGAATTCATCTCAATGCAGCCTGATGTGGCCACCCCTGCAGAGCCCAGGAGGAGCTCAGTGATGGAAGAAATTTACCATTTGGACCAAGTCACTATCCAGACACATTTTAGCTGGATCTTGCAAACGAATCCGTGTGATTGCACTTACAAATGACATCCCGAAGAGTGGCATCGTTTCTGATTTGTTCTGATGACCATCATAATCTTGAACAAATCAGAATTCCAGTTTATCCCAAAGGTATTCCTTAGGAAGTTCAATTTGCAAGCAGTTTGGCTCTTGTGCAAGTGACAGAAGTGGGTGGAGGGGGCTGAGGATTTCTTTGTTAGAAAAGGAACTGGCACAGAAAGAGAACCTTGCCACACGAATGGTTCGATTAGGGGAGATAAAAGAAATCCCCAAAATTTTGCCCTCCCAACCTTCCTTTCTTCTTCCTCCTCCCCCACAGGTTCTGTGTCTACTCCTCCCTCTCCCACTCCAGGTTGACAGTGCAGGAAGAGAATGGGGAGAAGGCAAGACTCTGCCCACTCTGGGAATGCCATCCGTCTGGCCATCGTCGGCAACTGTCCCCCGTGACACCCACTCTTTCTGGTGGACATATGGTGGTGGGTGTTTCCGCAGTCAGAGAATAATGGAAGCAACCAAGCGGGAGAAGTCTGGGAACAATAGAATATTCTAAACTTTCAAAAAAGGGCTTGGAGGGACTCGAGAACTGCCGCAGGACGGAAGTTCCCTTTCGGGTGACTGTCTAGAGCCATGTCCCTCTGGGAGGCTGAGGGTGAGAGGATGCATTCGGAATCTCTTCTCCTTCTGTCTGGGATTGGTTGAGGGGGGCTCCATGACTGGGATGTGCGGGTGCAGGGTTACAGCCCATAAAGTAGAAGCCCAATATTCTCACTAGAGAAAGCACTCATGGGACAGTCCACATTGGGGGACATGGTCAAATTGCAGGCCAGAAAAACGGGGACGGGGTGGAGGAAACGATTGATTTGCTATGTAACTGGGCAATTTAATGCCAGAGTTAGGGAGCTTCTGGCCAGAATCATTTCGTCTTTGGAGGCTCTGCCGACCTCATCCTCTTTATCCTGTTGTTTAAAATGAACATTATCCCAAACATATGCAATGCAATCAGTTTGGTCACACTTACAAGAACACGCTTTAATAAGGCAATCAATCACACGCTAACAAGCCGACGATGGCCCGCGCCAGGAGTGTACTTGGGCTGCCGGCAGCGGCAGGTCCTGCCGGGCCAGGGGACCTAAGCCAGGCACTGGACCGAGCTCCTGGTCCCACTGTCCACAACAGGGTTAAGGAGCTGTGGGAAAGTGTTGTTCCAGAGTGAAGTGTCAAAGTTGCTGGGGCGACCACGGAGTCTCCTACCCAAAGTGGGAGAGGGAAGGGAAGCTGGCAGAATCCCGGGAGCTCATAGCTGCGTCTGTGACTTACAGCTGTTGAGAACCGAAGCCTCCGTTTGCCCACCTGCAAAATGGAACCGATATGGGGCAAAGCTGAGTAGAGGCAATCAGAAAGTCAAAAATGAATACAATATAACACCAGGCCCCGTTGTCTTGTCTAGCCTTCTGGTTTTACAAATGAAGAGACTGAAGAGGAGCTGAGGCAATGCCTTCTTCATGCCCATCTCACACCCTCCTCCCTCGACACACCACCAATATGGAGCGTGTAGGCCTATTAGGGTTGCCCTGTTTAGGTAGGCTTGGGCAGAGTGTGTTTTTATGAAGGGGGGCTTGGAGGTGGTGCCTAGCGCCAAATCGCAAACCTTGGCAAAAGGGAAATTTCATTATGAAGTAATGAGTAATTCCTCCTGGCAAGATGTATTGTTATATCTTCCACTTCAATTTGGAGGAAGAGAGGCTCAATTACCCAGAAAATACAGTCAATTAAAGGCTGCTGATTGGACACGAGGCCGGATCATCGATCTTGTACTTTCCAATATCGCTGCAGACACCTCATTTTCCCTCCCTATTAAATGAAAATACGCCTGGCATTACGGCAACCCGCAGCCCATTTACCTGTCGCAAGCAATCTCGGCCTGACGCCGAGCAACCGCGAAATTTGCCCGGGTTTGGCACCCGGGTGCTTCCCAGAGGCAGAGGGAGCTGCGCAGGGCTGGTGGGGGTAGGGGTGTGATTCAGGAACCCTCGGCGTCAGGATTTGCTTGAAAGATCAGGGGCCACTGGGTGCAGGAGCGATTGGCGAGAGGAAGGCCGGAGAGAAGCCCCCACCTGCTGGTGGAGGGAGACAAGGGCAGAGGACCCTCAGCATCCAGCAATCCCCCCGGGCCTCCCCACCTCACTGGGAGCACCTATACTCTCCCCTGCTGGAGCAGGGCTCTGGAGCAGCCACGCTGGCTCGCCTGTGGGGGCAGGGTGCAAGCTTCGGAGCACTGTCTGTCCCTTTGCCTAGAATTCCTTCCTAGGGATGAGGCTTCAGCTTCAAATTGGGGCCCGCTCATCCCAGTTGAGGAGTTCTTCCCGCTCCTTCCCTGCCCCCTCCCTCACCCTCAGAGGCAGACCCTACTTCGCTGGCAAGTGGGCTCTCTACAGCTCTTTAGCTCTCCAGCCACTGCCCCACTAGCCTCCACGTTGGATTGGACTGCAGTCAGGATAGAAAGAGACCCCTTTCTTCAAAGAGCACTTACAACCCCAGGGGTGAGCCTGGGATGGTTCAACCAGGGAGAGATAGCCCATCATGCCCAAAATTAAGGAAATGCATCCCAAAGTGGCTAGGAGCTTGACTTCTCCACCTCTGCCCAATGTCCGTCTGGAGCCGCCAATATCCAATTGGGGCCTGGGAGACTCTGCAGGTTCATCTTTTTGGTACTTTCGTACCCAAGACCATAGTGGCTGAACTAGCAATTTTAAAAGAGCCAACGTGCTGCATGTTGGCAAAAAAGTAAAAATGCTGAGGTGAGAATCATGTCCAGCTTTTATTGCAATACGGTTAACAAATTGTAACAGCAAATTCTTTGGGCTTTGAAGGATAACCAAACCAAATTAAATTCATTCCCTACAGAAAGAAGCACTCCCTCCCAGGGGGGATGAACCTTGCATTGAAAGGTACAAATTCTCCTCTCCCTCAAAAACTGGCTGCCAAGAATGAGTGTGAGAGTGAGGGGTTGGGAATTGCCCTCAAATCCTGGAGACAAGGTCCCCCAAAGGGGCAGAAAGCTCCCAGCGCTGGTATCTGAATGTCAAGCAAAGTGGAACCTTCAGGAAAAGTGGGGAGGAAAATGAAAGGAAGGATGTAAAATGCCAAATGCAAAAGGAAAAGCCAGAAAGCTTTTGGGGAAGTGAAGGTGAAGGCAAAGGATGGATATGGTCTCATTTGCCACCAGATACTGAGGGAGGGAGGTGAAGTCCCCACTCCCTAAGCTCTTCCCTGAGCGCCTTGTTAAAAGCTCAGCTCTAGCTCGATGGCCAGCCAGCCGCATGCATGGTGATTATTATTATACATTCAAAAATCCTCCTCACACACATCACTTGCTAATCAGGGCATGCACTGGGCTCTGGGAGAGGAGGTCTGGCCTTCCACAAGCCTCCAAGGGGCCCTGGTGGCAGCAGCAGCTTCCCTGCCAACATCAAACAAAAAGTGTGTGGAGATGGAGGCGGAGTTGCAAGAAGAGAGATGTCGCGAAGCTGGGAGGGAGGAAAGACAAGATCAGCTGCTGGTCAACCAGAAGAGGCTGTGTAACTGAGGCTCCTGGAAGGCAAGGCGAGAGAGCCCCCAGGTTCTGTGCTGAGTGGCAGGATTCTCCGTGGTAGTAAATCATCTCTCTCTAGTACATGGCTGGGTTGCCATCCACAAGCCCCTTGCCATGCCTTGGAAAAGCTGGCAAAGATTAATCTCTACCTGCTCTGCATACACAGCATTTTGTTTGGAGACAGCACTTTCCCTTTCCAGTGCCTGGGCTTGGCCTTGACAGGAAGGAGGAGGGGTGCCGGTGAGGAAGGGGTGTGAGGGGAAGGGGCTGAGGAGCTAGGTATCTGTTGTTGTTGCTGCTAAGTTTTATTTAGCTTTGGAACCACAGCCTCAACTCCGGTCAGGGGCGGTGGGACCAAACGGCAAAGAGGGGCCGCCCCAGAGGAAGCTCTCCCAGCCTCTGCTTCCCCATCCCCACTTCTGCTCCCCAAATGCGCCAGCCACGCCGCTTCCTGGGCGCCGTCGTGGGACGCTAGATCCTGGAGACCGTGTCTCTCTGGTCCTTGGAGGCCCTCTCCTTTCCCCTCAGTGTCCTGGGTCAGGGAGGAGCGCTGGCTGAGTCCCCCCAAGAGCGTCCTGGAGCCGGTAGCCCACGGGCAGCCCTTTATCTGGTGAGGGGCACCTCCTCTCTCTGGTCCAGCGCGACGGAGGAGGCCTTGCTGAGCACGGAGGGAGCGAAGGTGAGGAAGGAGTCCGAGCGGGAGGTGGAGGCACAGGTGAAGTCCGAGGCGGCGGCAGCGGCAGCCCGGGGCGCAAGCCCGTTGGCCGGGCCGCTGTGGCAGGCAAGGCAGGTGCAGGGGCCGCCGGCCGAGGCGCCCAGTCCGTGCGCCGGGCCAGGGTAGAGCGGCGGGTGGCGGAAGGCGCACAGCAGTTCGGGCCGGGGGTAGGGCTGCGAGAGCACGCGGAACGTGTCGAGCGGGCGCAGCGGGCCGCTGAAGGGCGAGGCGGCTGCCGAGGCGGCGGACGCGGGACCCAGGCCCACCGGCGAATAGTAGGGCAGCGGCAGGTGCGACGGGAAGGGGTAGGGCAGGCCGCCCGCGGCCGCCGCGTGGCTCATCATGTACGTGTAGAAGGCGGGGTCGGCCGGGTGCGGCCACGTCATGGCCAGCCGCTGCCTCTTGTCCTTCATGCGCCTGTTCTGGAACCAAACCTGGGAGAGGAGAGGAGCAGGTTCAGAGGCTGGACCTAACCCAGCGGCCCAGAAGTCCTGCCCCACTGCAGGAGACAATGCTCACAGCCCAGGGAAGAGCCAAGGCAGAGACCTGCTGGGCAGCAGGTCCTAACACCACCATCTAGAGCCAGAATCCTTCCCAGCCTTGCCCCTGTCCCCTCCTTCTCTCTGGGGTGCCAGAACTCGGTGTGGGTATGAAGTAGTGGGGGGACTAGGAGGCTGGTCAATGGTGCCAGGTAGTGAAATCATCCTAAGAACCAGCCCCTTCCAGTCGCTGTCTTTTGGGGCATTCCTTGTCTCCTCCAAGGCTGATGGAAACCCTCTTGCCAATCAGAGTGCCAAGGTGACCCCATCCTATCTGGCTAAAAAGGGGACAGGTCATCTGCATGGCTGCAGTGCCCGCCTAGGGAGCATGGGTGGAGTAAACCTGCATGGGGTGACTTGCTCCCAGCCTCACACTGGGCCTACAGGTCCCTGGTCTTGCCGCCTGCCACGTGGCAGGGAGACCCCAGGCCCATATTCCTAGCCCCGCTCAGGGAGGAGGCAGTCTGTTACTTACTTCCATCTGAGTGGATGCACCCCACGCGGCCCAAGCATACCTTGATGGTGGTTTCCGGCAGATTTAGGGCAGCCGCCAGTTCGCACCTCCGCGGTCTGGATACGTAGTTCTCTCGGTAGAATTCCTTCTCCAGACGCGCGATCTGCTCCCGAGTGAAAGCGGTGCGGTAACGGCGCATCTGGTCACTGGCGCTGCAGGACAGGGTGCCCTGCGAGCCACCCCCTCCGCCGCCGCCATTGCTCTTGGGAGCCTCACTGCCGCCGTTGGGACTGCAGGCCAGTCCCTCCGAGCCGGGTCCTGCGCAGAGAACCCAGAGCACACGCGTGCACACGCACAGAAACACACAACAGACAGGCAAATGGCGCTGACTTGGGGCTGGAGGCTTGCGGTGTGTGGGGAGGAAGGAGGGGAGAGGAGGAAAAGAAGACACCCCTAGGCACACCTGCCTCAGTCGTTGGGTCCTGAGGATCCCAGGAATAAGGAAGGAAGATGTGCCATTGGAATGGGTACTGGACTGGTTGGGGGAGGCCCTAACCTCCAAGATGCTGGTTGGGATGTCCTAGTCTAAGGCCTTCTGGGTACAAAGGTCCCAAGCAGCCCTCCATCCCCCTTTCCCTGCCTTGGACGGCAGGAAGAGGCTGAATTGTTCACTATTGGCAAGAGTGGGCAAGGGTATGCCGGCCTGACAGGCATGGAAGTTTAAGTGAACCTGCAGGTGAGAGTGTTGGGAACTCTGGATCTTAGGACCTTGCTGGGTGTCAGGCAAGCACTGAATTTCCCTGCTCATGTGTGTGCCAGGCTGCCAGTGCAGGCTTGGGAATGAGTACAGGGTTACTTGTATTGCAGAGGTGCTATAGGAGTGCATGTTTGAGTATCCTAGTACTATATTGGAGTGGTATTCAGGTTGTTCTGAGGGCATGTTATTGTAGAAGTTTGGGTTGAGTGGATAAGGTGTATGTGGGTACACAAGGTGTTGGCTACCATGGCTAAAAAGATGGTCTTTCTTCCCTCCCAGGCCCTTCTCACCACTCTCACATCCTTGTGAATAAGTGTCTGCTAGAGGGCTGAAAGGCTTTGACAGGCAGAGCTCAGAGCTCAAGAGCTCTCCTCATGCATTTGACTGCTAACCAGAAAGCTGGCGGTTCAAACCCACCAGCCACTCCTCCAAAGGAAGGTTGGGCAATCTACTTCCGTAGTGATATCCCCTCGGAAACCCAAGGAGAGATCACTTAGGAGTTGGATCTGACTCCAAGGCAGTTGCTTTCCGGAGGGGGTGAATTGTTGGCAAGAAGGAAAAAAACTCCCTTCTGAGCTATTCACCCCTTCCCATTAGCCCCAGGTTGGGAGGCGTTCTTCTGAATCAGTGTGACAACCCCCCTTTGGGCATCCCCCAGGGAAGGGTGGGGCTCCAGCCCCCTGCAGCTTCTTTTCCTTTGGGTGGAGAAGTAGGACTAGGAAGGAGGGTGGGGGGAGGGCCTGAGCTCTGCCTTTTCAAATGCAACCGGAGACCAAAGGCAATTAGACCATTGGGACCATTTCCGACCTGGCGCCGCGGAGCCCGGGAAGTGACAAGGTAATTTGGACCTCTGACCGACGTGCAAACTAGTCCAAGAGCCGAAGCACCCTGGCCACCCCAGCCGGCCTAGGATTTTACGGTCCTTTATGGACTCCAGGCTTCCGCGCCTATATGCACATTACACCCTGCCAGCCACAAACAGCCGGGACCCGCGTTTGATCTGCCCACACCCGGGGAAGGTGTCTTCCCAGCTTAGTTGAAGCATTCCCACAAAACACTAGGGTTTGGGGGTGCTGTTTGAATCCCACTCAAGCCCAGGGCTTACATCTTTCCCCCACACACTCCGGCCCGGGGCACAGCTGTCACCCTCAGTCCTGCCAATGCCAGGGCCCAGAAGGAGACCCCTGCCGAGGTTCAGATAGCAAGGGAGAGTCGCTCAGGTGGGTCCCCCCAGCCACCCTGCCCTGATGAAAAGGAGTGTCTCCCTCCGGGCCTGACTTGAGGCGCGGAGGGAGGATCAGGGAGTGGAGGGGTGCGCGGTGGCTACCTTTGGTATGCTGGTACTCGGCGTTCCCGGTGGCGCAGTCTGGGGTGCAGCTCACCTCGATTTCTTCATAGAAATCCGACTCAGTATCCGAGCTGCTGGGTTGCCCCTGGCCGGAGAGGCTGTCTGCGGAGGGGGCCGGGGGACCCGGGCCAAGGACTGTCCCTCCAGCCGCTCGCGGCTCGGCACCCTGGCCCGCCCCGCTGCCAGCTAGTCCGTCGACCGGCTCCTCCTCCGGGCCTCCCCCGCCGCGCTCCCGGGCGGCCGGAGGGCCGGCCCGCGGGCTCAGGCAACTACGGGTCACCATCTTCTCGGGCGGCTCGGCCAATGGGCTGCCCACGGCTTCGGATAAATTGGAGACCCTCTTGCCAACCAGGGTGCCAAGCTGACCCCCATCCAGAAACATAACCACGTCTTTTCGGCTCTCCATTCTGGGGCTCTCCGGAGGGGGGGAGCCCCAGAGAGCACCTAACCCCCGGCTCCCTGGGTCCCCAGCGGCCGGACCGGTCTTGGCCGCTGGAAGGAGAACGAGAGGCCAGGAGGCAGGGCGGGCGCGGAGCGGCGGGAGCGCGATGTTGGCGGTGGCGGTGGGAGCTGGGGTCACCTTGTGATGCGAGCGCTCCTCTGTGCCGCACCGCCTCTGGGAGGAAGCCCCATTGCCCTCTTCTTTCTAAGCTGTCATCCTCTCGCTGCAATCGTCATTACAGTACCGCTGGTGACGCCACTCGGCGAGCGCTAGTGGATAAATAGAAACGTCTGCCACAAGGAAGATGAAAGGAGACCCGCAGCTAATGGCTCGGCAGTGATGCGCCAGGTGTGGGCCTCGCTCGAATGGGGAGGAGAGTGTGAAAACAGACAGAGACACACTGGCAGAGGGGATGCAAATGGGATTCCGCAGAAAGAAAAGAGAGCTTAACGCGCGCCCAGTTCCGCAGGGGCAGCGGGATTCGGTAATTGAATACGGTTTTTATTTTTTTTTAATTGTTGTTTTGGCTTTTGTTTTCTTAACTTGGTACCTTGATGTAAAACCGATAAGAGAATCTTTAACTGCATTTTAGAAGTGAGAAGGCCGACTCTCAAACCTAGCTGGTCTCGGCATTACTACAGTTGCCCTGGGTGAGCTAACCTCCTACAGGCTCCAAAGTCTTTTTACAAGCTCCCGAAAATCTCCCCACCCCCACCCACCCTCGCCCCCAGTTGTCTGGCGAGCTTGAGCCTGGAGTATCCTTTCCTCTCTCTTCCTCCCACCTCCCCACACTCCCAGCTGTTTCCTTCCTTCCAGGGAACCAAAATGGAACTTTGCTGTTTTCCTCCCCCAAGGAGTGAGAGATAAATGCCTTAATATTTTATTTTTATTTTTTTTATTTTTTTACCCTGTAAAGACTCGCCTTGGCTGCTGACTCAAAGTGCTCACTGATCATTTATTTTTTTAATCTCTCCGCCTCCCAAATTTGGTGGCCTTAAGCTTTCCACAGCCCAGCTTGATTGACCTGAGGAAATAGCTTTCGAGTTTGTTTGGACCACGCCTGCACTACAGGTATGTGGGGTGGGGAGAGTTTCTGAGTCGCCTTATTTTTTCTTGTCTTAATTTTAAGGTATTTATCCAGTCAACGAATTCCCCCAGAAACAGGTTTCCCGAGCGATGAGGTGTTGACCAGTGCAGGCCCCTAAGGGGGCAGCCGCACTGGAGGCCAATAGCTAGGTGGAGGGGTTTGTTTGCACCCCAGGATTTAAAGCAGGAGTTGAGAGTGCCTGAACCCACCCGCTGAGGTTCACAGGGGTTTGACTTCCCCCCTCTGCCCAGGGACTGCAGTTCTTGCTTCAGAAACGGGTGGCACTGGGATTAGAAGTCACCCAAAACGCCTCGCAGGAGCCAGTGACCTGAGGCTCTGAGAAATCTTTGGGGACAGACTAGAACCCCCATCGCAGGGTAGTGGGGGGCGGGCATTGGAGGAGTGTGATGTCTCTGGAAGCTGCTGCAAACTCCCTCTCAGTTTGTCTTCCAGGCAAGATGGGGTAGGACCAGTTATGGATCTGACGCCCTGCGTGCTCAGTCAGCGGGAGTGTGTCCTGGTGGACAGGTGGGCTGAGTCTCTCCCCACTTAGCAGTTGGCAGAAGACGGGTGTCTTTTCCACTTTGCAACTCTTTCTCCGCCCCCTCCCCTCCTTCCAATCTGATGGCAAAACTCCAGCCTCCAAGATTCTAAAGAAAAGCCCCTCTTTGGCTGCCTTTTTGTTTCCTTTCTTCCAGCTACTTTTTCTTCTTCCTCCTTTTTGTCTACTCTTCTCCCTACCTCCCACTCCACCCTTAGTCTTCCTACATTGCAGTTATGGAAGGGGAGTGGAGGAAGCTAGAGGTTCAGGGAGCGACAAAACTCCTCCCCATTCCTGCTTTTGATTTCTCCCACATTTCAACCAGAAGATCCTCCTTAACCTTGCCTTGGAGTTGGGAGTGGTTGGGGGTGTGTTGAGGCAATTTGGAGGGCAGAGGTGTACATTCCTTTGGACCTAGTCAACCTCTTCTGCTGAGCACTGATCGCCTACAAGCCATTGGGGGGTGGGGCAAGAATCAGACCCCCAGCCTTTTGCCGGTGGTGCCATGTTGTGAAGGACACTGAGACACCACACAACCCCCTTCCTCTTGGGCAGCTGAGTCTGAAGAAGCACCGTGTTTCCTCTGCTCAGTCAAAGTAGAGCCCCACGTGCCTGGTTTTAGAGCTGCCACCGTTGTCCACTCTCTGCCGGCCCTTCCAGCACTGGGCTGGGGCTCTCCCACCCTTCCTTCCGGGGCACCAGGGCCACCTTTTTAGGACTGGGTCTTCAGACAGGGTCTGCCCCTTCTCAGCCCTGCCTCCAGCTTTGCATTCAGTGGGAGTGCCCTGCGTTTGATCCTCTTTTCCTTTGAGTTTTCCCTGTGAGATGAAAGTAGAATAGGATTGGGGGGGGGCACTTGCATCTCCTTCTTAGATCTGGCCCAATGGAGGGGCCTTCTCTAGCGTCCCAGGGAGGGTGCAGCCTATCCAGGAGGACTACCTCTTTTAGGCTCCTACTCCAGTCCCAATGCTCCTCCAGTTCCTGCCCCCCCTTTCAAAGCAGCCTCAGTTTCCCCGGTCTTAAGTGGCCTGCTACACCCTAGATCCCAACAGCAAGAGCCTGAGAAAATAAAATAAAATTAACAAATGTCACTTCTTCCTAAAGTATCCCATCATCAACATCTGATTTTTAAAGAGAGAAAGGAAAAGGGAACTAGATAAGTACACATTTTCTGTTTTTTGAGGGACCTATTATTCTAATAGCATCATTATCACTGTAACCTGGAGAGTATTACCGACACGGCTGGAAAAGGAAAGTAAATTCTCAGACGAAGTAAAGCCCAAAGCTCACGGCCACGAAAACCCGGTTAGTCCCATAAAAGCGCAGAGGGGTGACAGCAGCTAAAGCGGGGTCCGCCTCGGTCCCTGCCACTTCTCGCCTCCAGCTGCTGGGAGACAAGCCATCTACCCCTCCCCTCCCCCTGCGGGCCCGCCGTACCCTCCCCCAGGCGGGGCGCTGGGCTCAGGCTCAGCCGGCTTCTCTCAGATTGAAATTCTGTGGACTTCAAAAGCCCGCGCGGCTCCGCTTCCGCCCGGGCTAGGCAGGGCCGGGGGTGGGTGGGAATCCCGGGGAGCGACGCGAGATAAGACTTGACGATCATTTTAAATGGAATCGGAAGCCGAGTGTAGGCCACCAGACACGCAGACCCTCTGGAGCCGATCTGCTTCCCAAGAAAACCCCGCTCGGGAGAGCGGCGCCGGGGTGGTGCTGCTCAGTGGCCTGCGGGTCGCGTTCAGGCGCGATCGGTGTGGCCCTGAACCCCTTCCGGGCCAGAAGCCAAACAACTCAGCACCACACGCGTGTCCTGGCCCAAAGGAAGGGGCGAGGAGACCAGAGACAGGGCACTGGGTTTCCGGGTGGCTGATTTGACCAAAGGGAATTCATTTTTTCATTATTTATTTATTTCTGCATTTCTTTAGCAAGACGGAAGAACAAAGGAATCTTCCTTTTAAACAGTTAAGCGTCGCCCGGCTGTTGAGGATATTGATCTTGGGCCCTGTCACCTTCCAGGCAGTGACGCGAGCCGTCGAAGTACCTGCGCGGAGGGCTCGCCGGGGGGGGGGGCGCGAGGTGCTGGCGACCCAGTGTCCATCCGTGGCAGCCGCTGACGCCTCTCTGGGAAACCAGGTGCCCAGAGGCACCGCGGGGTTCGCACCTAGGGACACTGGTCCATTGGATCCCAAACGCTTGGCGGTCAGGCTTCCCCTGGAGGGACTTCACAACCACACCACACCCCCATGCCCTTGCTCACCCTCAGGTGGGCAGCAGAGTCTGCTGAGGGAGTTGGCGAGCGCTCGCGGCTGCAATGACCAGCACAGACCGGTTTCTCCTTTAGACGGACCGCTGGAATCCTGAGCTTGGACAAGCCCTTCCTCCTCTCGTACCATTTGCAGCAAAAGGCTAGGCGCTGGGACAGGAAATCCAATGCTATCCGGACTCCGGACGTCTCCTGCTCGTCCCACCAGCCCTACCATCGCACTGACCGCCACACCTACTGGATCAGCCTCCTGAGTCCGGGTGGCCCGCACTGCCCTCCTTCCCGGAGTTCCACATCCCCAAGCCTACCTCTTGCTTATCCTGGCCCTCCAGGCCCCGAAGCAGGACTGGCTGCCGGAGGGCCTCCCCAAGCTAGAGGCTTGTCCCTGAGTCAAGCCACTGACCAGATGAGCACAAAGCAGGTTTGTTCCAGTCCACCAGCAATTCGCTAAACCTGGACTATCTCCCCACATCCACACAAGTAAAGGCCAGGACACTCCCTCCCCTACTCTAACGGATATGGTAGGAATTCTCCCATCACCGTTACTGTCCTGAATTTTCCCTTCATTACAATGCTCATTGGCACCCATTTCTCATTTAATCTGCATAACAGTTTTTTAAAAGGCCTCTCCAGGCTGGTGACTTTTCTCCAGAAGTCCTGGGGAAACCAGTGATCTTGACTCAGATGGCCAGGGCCAGTCCTTCTAATTCCCTGCCCTTCCCTGCCCTTCAGCAATGCCTCAACCCCCAACAGTGTCTTCGTCCTCCAAAAGGCAACCTTTCACAAAGCTTCAGCCCTTGCTGGGACCTAGGAGGGCCAAGGGGCCTCAGAGCAGGTGAGCACCCACCCCTTTGCCACTCAGAAGCTTCTACACGGCTAGAAAGTTCAGGGTCCACACACCTGGACTGTCCCCACCCTGCCATTCCCCCATGCATTCCCAGGAAGCCAAAGACAAACCCAGCTGCAAGTGTGGGAACCTTGCAGAGATAGAGCACTAACTATTCTAAGCATTCCCTACATATTCACTCTTCAATCTTCACAACAGACTCTGTGGAAAATATTCGTATGAACCACCTTATTTGCATCTGAGAAATCTGAATCAAAGAGAGGAAGCTCATACAAAAAAGACAATTCAATCTCCCGCCTCTGACTCTTAAGTTCACACTCACGACTGAGCTGTTAGAAAGGTAGCAGGCATTGGTTCCTGGAGGAGGCAACTAACACCTGGTCACTCACTTAGGACATGAAGGAAAAGTAAAGAAAAATAATGCACCTACACCATTTGGAAACTGGGGTGATTCCTGGAGAAAAGGGGAGTGATGCAGGGACCTGGGAGGAGTGACTGGAGCCACCCTCAGAGATGTGGGATGTTCTACCCAAGCAGGTAGGAAGAGTCTTCAGTTGAGTCCTGAGTTATCAAGAATGCCACTGCAGCAAGGACTCTGGAGATGCTAAGAAAGAATGCCCAGTCTGTCTTTGACCTTCAGGATCCACTGAGGCCCTGAGCACCTTTTT